CAACCAAGTTTTCATATTACTACCTTTGTCAGCATGATAATTAACTATTATAATGAAAAAATATAACCAAGAAACTTCTGATTCCATAATACCTGTCAAAATATTATTTACTGTTGTCTAACCAGTAACTCTTCAGTTACTGTGTCTGTATGTTCAAAATTTCCTGCTTTGATATTTCCATCTTTACCATGAAATGCATTCCTTCTAAATTGTAATAAATGTATTTTTCTATGCCTTTATTTTTATCCTATATTTCTTTCATGTCTTAAATGATTTTCACAAGATTATTTTAAAGGTCCTACCAGACAACAGTTTAAAAAAAAAAAACTAAGCACTTCCCAGTTTTCTTTGTGCTGAAGTAGCTTTACCCTGTTGCACTTTAACAGAGTCCTTTTACAGAGAGCAAATTCCTAGTCAAATAAGCACAGATCTTAAGAAAACCTGGGTTTGAATTCTAATCAAGAAGCTTAATTTTTGTGTCTTCTAAATTTTCATCAACAGAAAAGTCTTTTATAGTCAAAATCATTAAGAAAGAAATGGAAAGCCAGGCACACATCTTTAATCCCAGCACTTGGGAGGCAGAGACAGGCGGATCTCTGAGTTTGAAGCCAGCCTGGTCTACAATGCTATAGCGCCTAGGGCAGTGGTTCTTAACCTGTAGGTTGAGTTTCCTCTTGTGTGTGTTGGGGCAGTGCCTAATGGTGCTTACATAGGGGGCACCTAAGACCATTGGAAAACAGAGTTACTTACATTACAATTCATAACAGTAGCAAAATTACAGTTATGAAGTAACAACGAAAATAGTATTATGGTTGAAGGTCCCCACAACCACGAGGAATTGTATTTAAAGGGTTTCAGCATTGGGAAGGTTAAGAACCACTGCCTTAGGGTAACCTTCAGCTGTATAAGAACTTACATTTGGTGGAGGGCAGAGGGGGAGAAGCTTACGTGTTGAGCAAATTGAACAAGTTTAGCGGAATGGGAATAATCTTAAAGGTATGGGACTTGAACAGCATAGATTTCCTATTAATATTTGCCATAAAGCAGGAAATACAGTCAAACTAAGAATAAAACCTCTTTTTAAGGAAACACTCCACCTGAGTATAGGGAAGCCTGAACAAGCTCTAATGTGACACAGTTGTGACTCATTGTCAAGAGTGGATTTCACAGAGCAGTGTTTTCTTAGTCATGCCATTTCAGGCATACAAAGTAAACATCTTCAACGAGTTTGCGTAACAAACTGGTAGTGCTATATTTTTCTTAATTTCTTCCTAATATGATGAGGTCCACAGCAGAATTATGGCAAGGCTTGTTTATGTGTGAACTAAAATAATTTTGGCATCATGTTAGAGGAACATTTCCTTCTGCAGGGTCTATAAACGGCAACCATTGGTTGGGGGAGAGGAAAGAGAATTGGAGACTTTAGGTCTCAGTTTGGATAAAAAGAAAACATATTCCTTCAGTGTTGCTTTGGCAAAACCCTTCCCTTGAGATGTTTCATTTACAAACTGGCAGAGGTTTGCAAGAGAAGCCTGACCCTGATAGACGCCATTCGAGAACATGCAGGGAGGAGTCCAGCTGAATTTGCAAGTCCAGTAGGAAAAGGTCAGCAGGAACCCACGAACTGTAAGTTAATCAAGACATTTCACAGTTTTCATGCTCTCATTTTCTTGCTATGTAGCAATTGCTGTAACTGGTTAGTTTATATATCAGACCATCTAGCTTATCATGTTGAGACACAGGAGTTAGACATTTGTAAGGTACATTTTCTCTAGGTCACCAACACTATCACAAAATCCAAACATACTTGGGCTCTTTTTTTTTTTTTTAAAGAAATTCCTACAACCTACTAACATTTCTTCAGCCACAGTCAAATGGCTGTCTGGCAAGTTTGTGGAATGTTGAAGGCCACTGTTTACTTTCTAGGCAAGAGATTGGTGGTGATGTTATAATTCTACTATGAGCATGTCAGAACTGAAGTATATGTGAAGGAGCTGTTGTCCATAGTCATGTCTATTTTTAGCTAACCTCTGAACATCTAATGCTGCTCCAAGTTTGGGATGAAATTAGCCTGGCTCCTGACTGGGAAGCTATCATTGTCCATGTGTGCATGTCCTGGGGATCAAACTCAGGACCTAGGGCCTCATACTTGCTAGGCAGATGCTCTACCATTGGGCCACAATAAATTGCCTTTTTCTCCCTGGCCAGCCCTCATTCAGTAATCTTTATCTGAAAAATGAAAAGACTTTTTTTTCTTGGACTTCAGTGCTGGACAGAGTTTTGCTTCCTTTAAATAACACCTCTGGAAAATGGCAATTATGAAGTGGTTGGGACACTTGGTACCTTAATCTGCTGCTCATCGTTCTGTTTACTGCTTCTCTTGCTTTATGACAAAAAATATGTATCTTTCTCCACAGCCAATTTTAAGAATTTGCTCTCTGCCTTTTAGAGTTGTTCAAATTCCTGCTCAATGAAACAGCGGTGGAAGTTTAAGAAAGTAACAAAAAAAAAAAAAAAGGAGCTGAATTGGAACAAAGTGAAAATTACTCCAAAGAATTCCCATGGTATTGCTTCCTCACTATTGAGATCAATTGCTGGAGTTTTCCCCTTTGAGAATTAACCCAGGGCTCCTTTCCCCTTTCTTATTTAATGTGACCCTGGGAAAGTGCTCAAGCTTTATCCTGGGAGATGTCAATACTAGTAATTTACAGTCCCACAATTTTCAACCCTCTCACAGCGTATTTGCTAGGCTTCAAGTGTGCAAGTCTTTATATATAAATGCACTACAGAAGAAGCAAGGTTAAAAGTAGCAATGGAACTGTTTTGCTTCCCCATTATTAGAGCACTGGAAATGTGATAATTTATTATATATATAATATATACATACATACATATATATTGGAGTCATTCTTTATATTGAATCTCAAGTGGGGAAACATCTTTAAAATGTCTATTATTATTAACTTGGATCAAAATGTGAAATGTCTGAACTTATATCGAGTAAAATCTTTCTTTTCAAAATTGACCCTTCAGTGTCCGGACTCCCCAAGATAAAGATACCATGAGCCATATAAGTTTCTGGAAATTTATTTTGGGACTTTATTTTGAAAGCATATTTTTACACTTTATTTTGTTTACAGGAACCAAAATATGGGTACAATGTAAGTATATGGATTTTATCTGCTTAATAGGATGACTGCATACTATTGGGTAATTTTGCATTTAAAATTATGCACATAATGTATTGTAGGAGATTATTTCATAATCGTATAAAGATCCTTCTCATTCTTTTTTTGGGGGTGGTGGTGGCAGGTATGGAGACACAGTTTCTCTGTGTAGCCCTGGCCATCATGGAACTCTCTCTGTAGACCAGGCTAGCCTTAAACACAGAAATCTGCCTGCCTCTGCCTCCTGAATGCTGGGGTTAAAGGCATGCACCATCCCTGCCCAGCATATGTGGACTTTTTAATAAAAAAAAATCTATAGAGGTCACTATAGGTTACATTCACATCTACATTGTGACTGCCTACCTTCCCATACACTAGTACCAGGTGACTATCAAATGTTCTAAGCTTTGACAGTTTGCCAAACAAAACAGAGATTTTGTAAAATATAGTTTTTAATTTTCCCTTTTCCTCCCAGAGAAAACAACACCCGAACTTTTCTTCAGAACACAGGACCACAAAGTTATGCTGTGCTGTTATCTGGTCCTTACTACCATTCCCGGAGTCCGTAGCAGGTAGTGTTAGAGTTCAGAGGTTAGGAATCTCACTCTGTACTTAGGATCAAGAGGAACAGAAAAGTCAATAGGCCTTATTTCTTGACTATTTGGCTGGACAGAGTCTCTGGTGATGGCCTTAGATCACCTCTCTTTTATGTGAATGCAATTAGAAGCTAAGTTTCTGATTTCCACACCCACAAAAATATCTCCAATTACTTCAGTGGTTTTTTTGTTTGTTTGTTTTCTTTTCCTCAATTTATCTTATAGAAATAAAAGTAAAAGTGGCTCCCTATTTATAGATAGAACTAAATCACGCAATAGAATGGAGTCGTTGTGGGAGTGTGGGGTGTGTGTGGAGCATGTTGGGCCAGATCATCTGTGTCACATGTATGTTATAAAGGTTTAAATGGTATGTTTAACACAAGGAGTAGTCTCCTCGGGGAGGAGGCGTGTTGTTAATTAGCATAATTATCTCATGACTCCTCAGAAAAACATTCATGGCCTTTTTGGCTTTGTTTTGTTTTGATGGACCTTTTGCATGGGAAGAATTAGCCAATGGTGTTTAATGGTGTATCATTTTAAAGTTAGTCACATGATTTTCCCGTCAGCCGGAGATCATGTTACAGCAGGGATTTCAAAGATAAGTAACAGGCGTTATCTGCTGGGATATGGAAGGAAAAAAAAAGGTTGGAAGTTGGGCCTGCCTTGCCCTCCTTCATGGTGTGACCGTGTGCAAGTCACTCAGTTTTTCTGTCACTGTTCTCACCTGAATAATAGAGATAATAATCTAACCTATTTACACCAGGCTCCACTTGTGAGCAAAGAATGGATCGTTGTGCACGTGAAAACACTTAAAGCTATAAACAGCAAATGCTAATAGGTGTTCATCCAGCATTCACAGTACAGATAACTTTTGAAAAGCTTCTCCTCCACCCCCGCCCCCCGCCCCCGCCCGCCAACGGCACTGCTTCAGCAATCCCATGCCAGGAAGTTTTATATATGCATACAAACATGCATATATTAAATTTACAGCTCTGATTGTCTGACATTCAATGGTTCAGGAACGTTTTGTCTCTCACAGGTAGACTATCAATCTTTAGGAGAAGTCTGCATTTAACTATGCTTAGTTGAGGCCTGTAAGTTCCTCAGTTCGTCCAAGAACAAGGACTTTGTCTTTAAAGTGGTCAGATCTAACTTCTCCGAGTCCCACTACCTTCCCACTTTTTAGCTTAACATCTAACAGCTGGAGTGCTCTTTTCTTTAATGTTTAGTAGGTTCTCGCTAATGATCTGCTCGCAAGCCTGAAGACAATACAGCGCTCAGGTGGAACTCGCCGAGAGCAATCAGTGCTGGTTCTTTACAAGCCCCTGGGCTGATAATTCTGCAACTTTCCCACCTTCCAACCCCCAAACAGTCTGCCATTCAAGAGAAGTAAAAGGACAGGGAACTCAGGCTGCGAGGACAACAAGGAGGAGTCGATTTTCCGGCTAGCCTGTCCGGTCCTGAGGCCCCAAAGCTGGGCACTGCAGAGCATGGCTCGCCCGCTGAAACGTGAGTGATCTGGGGACGCGCGGTGCAGTCAGGTGCGCAGTCAGCAGCCACCCGCATCGCGACCCACGTGGCAACAGGTGCAGCGCGGTCCAGGACCTACGCCCGGGGCTTCCGGCAAGAAGACGTTTAACCTGGGAGCCGGACCTGGCGGGCGACCGTAGTGGAGCTCAGTGGGAGTCTTCGTGACCCAAGGAACTCCCGCAAGTTTCACAGGTTAGCTTCTTGGGGCGCCGCCCCCTGGGCCCCCGCTTGGTCTTTGTCTGGGCTCCAGAAGCTGCCGCGGGCGAGGGGTGAGACTCCCCAGCCCGGGACTCTCCGCCTTCGCTCCTCCCCCTAGTGATCCAGGGCGGGGAAGCTGGGGCTCCCGGGCTCCGGGTTCCCGGTTCCCGCCTGGCTGCCGTCGCCACCGGGGTGCGGGTGCTGATCGGGGTCGAGCTGCGAGCCCCAGGTGTATACGCCTCCAAGGCTGGGCCCGCCCAGGGTGTGGAGGGAGCCCAGCCCCAAGCGGCGGCTCCAGGGAAGGCTCGGGGCTGGCTCCCAGGCTCTGCAGGCAAGTGCGGAGTGGATCACATTCCACCCATCCCGGCCGCGGTGGGGACCTCGGGAGAACCTAGAGCTCAGGCGCGCCGACTGCAACTCACTCACGGTGACCCGAGTGGCTTTCGGGGGGAGTGGGCGGGTGTCCTCGGGGCTTCAAAGTTCGAGGAGTGAGGAGGCTGGGCTCACGTGGGGCCCGCGCAGCTCCTGCAGGACAGCGGGTTGCGGTTGCTGTCACCTTGAAAGTGACCGCGGCGGTGGGTTTAAAGGAGATCTGGTGGACTGTCAAGTTGGCACCCTCGGCCGAAAGCCGCCCACCAAACGCCGGACCCTGACTTAGGGCCTGGCAGCCTCAGGCTTCCGGCTGGGCGACTTGCCGGGGCCCATTCCCAGCTTAAGCAGCCAGGGCAGAAAATATGGGAGAAAGGGAATTGCTGCAGTTTCCCGGTCCTCATGCGGGGTTACTCCCTGCAGCCCGCGGGTATTTAACAAGCTCTATGGAAAAAACGCTCGGTTTTGGTCACCTTAATCACTGCTTAGGTGGACTTAGCTAGAATTACAGGAGGTCTTTGCTCTCTTTTGACTTGTAATAGTGACGAATTTAAATGTTTTAAAAACCCAACTTGTCTAGTGGTACCCATTCTTGCAAAGTGCTATTTTTAAATTGTTAGTGTTCTAGGAAAGGAAACCAGTGTATTTTGATTGTCTAAAACCAGAGTCTTAGGCAAAACAGGAGGAAGGAGAGCTTTCATGTTTTGCCAGGTGATTGGAGTTCAATCATGGTATCAAATCACAGCGCCGTGGGGGTGGTGGTGGGAGTGAATTCCGGGGATCAGGAGACAACTTGGAGGGAGGAGGGCAAAAAAGAGGCGGGGTCGTGCTCCCCTGAACCTATGACCTCCATATGGAATGCTTTACAAATAGGTTATCACTTTAAATAATTCGTCATCTCCCGTTTTCTCCAGCAGGTCCTTCAGGGCAATCAGTCTATAGTCTGTTGTGTGGGTGTGCTTGAACTCATTGTTTACAGGTTCATCTCGCAGGAACTCTATTCCATAAGAAAAGTTATGCAAGCAAAATAAGCAAAGCCTTATTCTTAACCTGTTAAAAAAAAGGTATAGAATTTAGTTTAAAATAATTAGGAAATAGTGTGCTTTGTGTTAATTTTTCCCACCTGTGCCCCACCCACGTACGCCGGAGCCAAGAGCTCATATACCAAGCACCTGGATTATCACGGATGTCTGCCTCCACCCTCATCTGTTCCTTTTAAAACTAGATTTATGTGTGTGGGGGGGGGGGGATCGTGTTTGGAAGAGGTATCTATCTTTTAATTAACCGTTAGGAAGGGCAATTTTTGTAGTGCTTAATAGGATTGAATTCTGGGCAAATATTGAGTAGAATATTTGGAAACTAAATTTGAGTTACACGGATTAGGTGTTTAAAGAAACATGTCACGTAGCGACCCGGTTTGCTCTGACTTCAAAAGGAATGAATGATGTTTACAGTTTGGTACATTCAGAAGAGTCAACCCTACCATCTATTTCTTTCCTATGTAAAATATTACGAAAAGTCCTCCATTGTACTGAGCCTTTAACATCCTAGTTTATTGTTACAGTATACTCTAGATGTATCAATTTGCTTAACCTTGGTTTTATAAGCCGAACTTTTCATTTGCAGACTGTTATTAGATATGCTACTGCAACATTTATCTTTTAAAAATTTTGTATTCGAGTTTTGTTTCTTTAGGATAATGTCCTTGGAAATCACAGTTGGTGATTCAAAGTTTTTAAAAAAAAAATACTGACGTTTGGTTTCCAAAGCTATTTAGGCAAACTAAGCTGACCAGCTCTGAGCTCTTGTGTTACATTTTAACTCAGGTAATTATCCTTAAAAGGAAGTATTGTTGTCAGCTTTATAAGGGAGCTGTGCTATCTCAGTATTTAACTTTCCATTCTGTGATTGCAAATGTTATCAAGCACCTCACCCATGTTCCCAGTTTTTCTTTTTTTCTTTAGGCAGGGTTTCTCTGTGTAGCTCTGGCTGTCTTGGAACTCGTCCTGCTAACTAGACAGGCCTTGAACTCAGAAATCTGCTTGCCTCTGCCTCCAGAATAGTGGGATTAAAGGTGTGTGCCACTATGCCCGGCTAGTTTACTTTCTTTTAAATTCAGTGTAGTATATTTTCTTTTTTGGGATATTGGTGCTTTTCTACTCATAAGCCAACAACCTGAAAGAGGCTTTTATATCCATTCATATTGCAGATATTTTCCTCAGTTTGCATTTGCCCTAGTAACACCTTTATGGTTGTTTTGACTTACAGAAGCAGGTTTTTCTCAAAATGGAATTTTAGTATGAATCATTGTTTGAGCCACATATGGCTGTTATTTCTTCTGGAATTCTGGGTTAAATTCTTTTTACATGTAGCACTACAACTTCTGTGTTCTGGAGTAGCTATTGTGTACTTTTTTCTGCACATTGTTAATGAGAAAGTGTCAAGTGTGATGTATGTCCTTAGGGCATTTCTGGCTGGAAAAATGGCACAGTTTGCTTCTTAAAAGGACCTGGGTTTAGTTTCCAGCACCGGTATCAATGTGCTCACAATTGCATGTAACTCCAACTCCAGGGGAACTAGTATTTTGTTTTTGGTTTTTTGTTAGGCTTTGGTTTTTGGAGATGGGCTGTCCCAGAACTAGCTCTGTAGACCAGGCTGGCCTTCAACTCACAGAGATCCACCTACCGTTGGGATTAACCGTGTGCACTTTGTAAGCTCTTGCACTCAATCAGAACAGAATGTTTAGAGGAAATCTATATAAATCTTGGCTGAGAATTTTCCTGGTTCTTTGGGACCTGAGGAATCTTAAACCATAGGTTGCCCATTTAATCTCTAAGACTTTTTTTTTCTCCTAGAAACCTGCAATTACCCTAAAACTTGAGTTGAACACATACATATAATGAAACTCTTAGAATGTATGTAAGCTTGATGTGTCTTGCTTTGCTCCACCCTAAAGCTAAAGAATGTAATAAAAGCAATCTAAATCTAGGTATTTTGTAGTGGTGGTAGTACACGTTAATCCCAGCAACCCGTTAGGCTGAGTTTGAGGCCTACAGGACAGCTAGAGCTGCACAAGGAAACCCTGTCTCAAAAAACCAATCAAATCTGGCTGAGAGACCAACAGGAGACTGATCTAGACTCCATGAATGTAGTGCCAGGGAGGAGGCCACAGAAATCACTGGGGCCTTGTGTAGTAGATCAGTATTTACCATGGTTAATGAATGATCTTTGGGAGCCCAGTCCACATGGAGGGATGCTCTCTCAGCCTGGACACATGGGGAAGGGCCTAGATTCTGCCCAGGATGAGATGACAGACTTTAGAGATTCCCCCCAAAGAGGATTTCACCCTCCCTGGAGAATGATATGGGGATTTGGTGGGGGGGGGGTTGGGGACTGGTGGAGGAACAAGGGAGGAGGGGTGGGAGAGGGAGCTGGGACTGACATGTGAAGCATTCACGTTTCTAATTTAAATAAAAACATATTGAGAGAGAAAACAAATCAATGAACAAACCAACCTCCATCTGATATTACCACCAATGTATTTTGTCAGTGATAACAATCAACATAGATCTATGCTTCCCTAGTATTTTGGAGCAAACCTTTTAACTTGTTGACTATCTTATCAGTATGGCTATATAGTCTGTGAGCATTTGAATTCATTTATGGTACTGTAATGTGTTCTGTGCTATCAACAGAGCCAACAAGTCAATACTTAGTGATGCCTTTGCAGAGACCTTTTAGCTTTTATCTTGCGTTTAAATATGTTTGAATGCGTTTTGTGTGTAAGAACATTTAGTCTAAATATATGGATGTGCATCACATGCATGTCTAATGTCTACAGAGGTCAGAAGAGGGTGTCAGATCCCCTGGAATTGGAGTTATAGATGGTTGTGAGCCAGGATGTGGGTATTGGGACCTGAACTAAGGTCCTCTGCAAGAACAACTTGTGCTCTTAAACACTGAGTCATCTCTCTAGCCCCTTGGCTGGCATTTTTATGGTATCCAAAGAGGTGGAATTGTGATAGCAAGGAACCTGAATGACCCAACATCAAGTATTTGTAATAGCATTAGGCTTGGGAAGAGACGGCATCCTTGTCCTTATCCCAAAGCTACATGGCACTGGATCATGTGGTTTGGTTAGATCATGACTAGAGCTGGGTCTGATGATGTATGACTGCAAATGTAGCAGTGGGAAGGTAGATACGTAAGACTGGAATGCTCAAGACCACTTCTGGCTACAAAGTAAGAAAGCATGGCCAGTTTGGGCTACATAAGTCTCTAACTCAAAAGTACAGTGTCAAAGTCTACAGAATCACTTTACATGTGATATGATGGACCATCCACGTGGACTATTCAGAGAACGTATCGTTAAGGATTTCTATGTGACAGCTCAAATGCTCCAGATTATTTTATTTACTCATTTATCTTTTATGTTCCAGGTTTTATGATGACCGGGAAATGTTATGCTTCTGACTCGGTTGTCTTTTGTTCAAGTGAATTTTTTATTGTAGTTGAAATCATGTACTTACTAAGGAACTATATTATACCATCAAAACAAAATCTGTAGAAAAATTTAAATCCTTGGGATTGGAAAACTGTGATTTGTGACCCTGGAGATGATGAAG